TCTAGTAATAATAATAATTACATTAAAATAGAACTAAAAATAAAGAAATTTATCAAAAAAAAAGAAAGTCAAGTCATCTGTTAAAAAATAATAAATTAAGAAAAATATATGAATGTGACACATGATAAACTTTTTCTTGAAAGGTTTTTCTTTATAATATATATAGATTTTATTTTGTGAAATTGACATATGTCATACTTGATTTCAATGGTTTCTCTCTTAAAATATAGATATAGATGACAATAATGTTATCAATACTCCCAAGCAAGATGGAAATAAATCACTAAAGCAAAAACATATAGTTCGAAGGAGACATACTCAGCTATTATATACGTAAATGGTTCAGCTATTATATGCATACATAAAGGCCTTTTCAACTCCCAAGCTATTTTGAATGGGTAATATGAAAAGGTTGGAGAAAGAAACAGTCTAAGCATTTAAAATGGAAAACATGAATACCAATGTCTTGGGGAAGTAAGAAGTTAAAGCTCATTCATTATTCTATTTTTTTTAAGAAATGTAACAAAAGGAAAAAAGAAATAAAAAGGATGGGTAATATCAAACATTGGGAAAAGAAACAGCTAGACCATTTGAAATGGAAATGGAAATGGAAATGGAAAATACCAGGGAAGTAAAAGGTTAATGCTTTTATAATTTTTCTATAATAGCAATCTCTGATATAGAGAAAGATTCTCATATGATTATTAACATACTGTATTCAAAAGTAAATATTGACAAACTTTCATGTAAAAATCTATGTACTATCACAAAACAAAAGCAAAATCACTTTTTCAAACGAACGTTCCAAGTGAACGGTAAGCCCTTGAAGGTCATCATGATATGGAATCTATGCAAAGATATCAAGAAGACATTCTTTAGCGAGTCATTTAGAGTATATAGTCTAATAATAACATGATGCTTACCAATCATAGAGGCACAATGCATACCAGCATAAGAAAAAGGTTCTTCCCCTGCGAGTTACTCCCACGTAACAATCCCAAAAGAATAAACATATATATATCTACAGCATGGAAAAAATAAAAGATAAGTTGAAAAATTAAAATAGCTTAACATAAAAATAAATAAATAAATAAATAAACAAACGCCGCAAATAGAAAACATACAGCTACATTCTGGCATACAATGTATAATAGTACTTTTCCAGTTACCATATTACTTTTACCAATTACCACTTAAAAGCTCAGGTGCGAGGATAATGTCCTACGAACACCTCTAGAACCGAAATCCATTATCTCTCTCAGTTTCTGTACACAAAGCTCCCCATGTTGAGCCCAGAAGAAGAGGATCCGGCATCAAAGGCGGTGCGTCAAAATATTTTTTTTATATATTTTATACTTTAAAATATTTTTTTTGTAAATACTTATATATAAGTTATTATACATACAATATTATTCAAGAAAACAATAAATCTTATTTTAAATTAGTATTCTTCTTTTCAGTTTCTAACTACAACTAACTTAAAAAAATGAAAAACTTTTTTCTATTTTTGTTTTTGTGAAGAGGTGTAAAAGACGTCCAACCACATACTTAAAAGGCTCCGGTTTATGGCGAGAAGACAGAGCAGTCCAAGGAGAATGAAATAGAACCAATTATTTCACCAAATTTTATAAGTAAGTTGTTGTCCACTTCTCGGAATGCTCTAGTAGGAGGAAACGATTCCATCCTCTCTGTCTCTTACGATATTATGACGTCACCCACGTTGTTCGAAGAAAGGACCGTCTCAAAATATCGTATGTATAAGACTGGTACATGTCGCAAATTTTATAGCAGCATGTACCACATTTACAATTTTTTTTTCTACTAAATTAAATATAAAACTGAATTAAATTCGCTCAAAACACAATTCCAACTTGAAATTAACCTTTTGGTAACCTTCTTCCTTGAGAGAAGAATTTGGAGAAATTCTTTTTCAAGGAGAAGTTCTTGTAGTTTCATTGAAGATTCTTGTTTTTGAGCTGGGGGCTGGAAACAATATTCAAGAAAATTAATAGATTTAATTGACTAAAAGCCTTTTAAAGAAGAATTTAGAACAAAGGATTAAAAAATAATTTTTTCTCTCTTAATATATTTAAATATCATATTATTAAAATTTAAAATTTTTTACTTTTTTTTAAAAATAAATAATTATATGGATATAAAGTTTGAGTTGATGCATGTATCTTCCCTTTGTGCTATGACTTTGTCAATTAAGAAAACCTTTTTTTTTTCCCCACCCAAAGAAAGAATTTTATTTTTTTATGTTTGAGGAAAAGAAAGAATTTTATTTTTATATTCCATATGCGAAGAGAATGGAAGCTTTACAGGCTGGCAAGGCCCCTCACCATTTTGCACGTAGCCTTCGGACAAAACCAGCAATAGCTTAGGAGTTACATTGGTTTTTGCAATATGGAGTAGTTTAATTCCAACTGTATCTGTAGTTCCTTCTATCCTCCCGCGACTCTTGCTTTCTCTTCCCTCCACTACTTCCATACGGCTCCTCTAGATCTTTGTCTTCGCCTTCAATGCAAATCTCGTTCCACGTTTCTCACATTCAATCCGGAATTCAAAACCCCGTGATGTATCTTCAACCCCATTTCTTTTTCAGTCTCAATCCGTTGTTTTAGACCCAGAAACAGAAGCGACCCAAGTCAGGATGACCGGGGGAGTCGCCTCCGCGGCAGGCGGCCACCGCGCACCGGTCGCACTGTTGCTCGACCTCGCTCATGACATTGTGGGGATCTCCTCTGGGAATGGTGGAGACGGTTGTAGGGGTGACTTCAAGAAGGATTGCACGGATCTGGTGCGGAAGGTTGCTCTCTTGACGCATTTGATGGAGGAGATCAGGGATAATGGGGCTGTTGTTAATGCGTCGACGTCCTGTCCTTCTTCTTCCGCTTCTTCGTTGACTTCTGATTGGTGGTCCGATCTGTTGGTGGCCCTCCAGGCTGCTAAGCGCCTCCTGTTGACGGCTGTCAGCTTCCATTCCATTGATTCATCCGTAAGCAATCGAATCCAATCCCTTTTAGATTAAAGTTTGAAGCTTTTGATTTTTTCAAGGTTCAGAACAAGTAATGCATGTTTTGATTCATTAGATTTCAGTCACATTCAAAATTAGATCTTTTGTTATGACCATTTTGATTTGATTGAACCTGTCAAACCAGAGTGTAAACTATTCAGTAAAAACTGTTGTGATACAGACAATAGTTCCTTCATAGTATTGACAGTGACCATGTTGATCATTGGGCTTCCATTTAGTTGGTCATACATCTTTGTTGGATATGTTCAGTCAATTTTCTGAAAAGGAAATTCTTGCCACATGCTAATAACTATATCAATGTTTCTCCAAGTGATTGCTGATGTATGACTCACTAGGTGGTACTGATTTCGGTTCTTTGATCATCCCAGAAAAAAGGGACATTGTATACATGTATTATTCTTATGGTTGATATTATGCTTGACAAATGTTTATCAGTGTTTTAATTCATTGATTTAGAGGTCATGAAGCTTTGAAATTCATTTGACTGATGATTATCTCTGGTGAAAGGAATTTGTAAATTTCCAAGCTGACATTTTGTATTTAAGAAACTTTGTGTTACTGAAATTCTGTTGTGGTCATGCACATTCTTCTAGAAAGAATGTATATGTACTTTTCTTAAATTTACTATTTCTTGATTTAAGGATGGACCTGCCAAGAGAATTTCCTTCCAATTTCAATGTGTAGCATGGAAACTGGAGAAAGCTTTGGGGAAAATCCCATATGAGTATTTTGACATCTCTGAGGAAGTTCAAGAGCAGGTATCAGTACAGAAATTTTATGGTGCCCTTTTGTTGATTGAACCTGCATTTTAATAATCCATCCTTCCCTGTCTCAGGTTGCATTGGTAAGGGCACAATTGAGAAGAGCCACAGAAAGATACGGGTCTTTGAATTCAAGAAAGGTTTTTAATTCTCTATTCCAACCATTGGAAAAAGAAGCCTGTAAGACTAATCATGAAGTTTCTTCAAAGCTGGATGATCTTCCAGAAATTTTTGGTCCACGAGGAGATGGTTCTGATAAGGATATAAAGAGATTGGAGAGAGTGAAGCGGTCTTCCATGTCTTCTGAGGTCTGTCCATCAAATGAAATTGATGCCAAAAGGCAAGAGAATTTGGTCACCAAGGATCCTGTAGAAATCAAGAAGTCTGATGCACTTCTAGTTCCCAACGATTTTCTGTGCCCTATATCTTTGGAATTAATGAGGGATCCCGTAGTTGTAGCTACAGGACAGGTATTCTTCACTTGTTCTTTCTCTCTCTGACAGGTGTTGTCCTCTTTATCAATCTCTTTGCTTCTGTCTGATTCATCTTCATCATGCTCATGCAGACATATGAGAGATCTTACATACAGAGATGGATAGATGGTGGGAATTTAACATGTCCAAAAACTCAGCAAAAGCTGGATAACTTGACACTAACCCCTAATCATGTTTTAAGAAGCCTGATAAGTCAGTGGTGTTCTAAGCACAACATTGAGCGGCCTAGAGGATTGGCAAATGGAAGGATAAAGAAGAATGATGGGTCTTTCCGTGATATTAACAGTGACATGGCTGCCATTCAGGCTTTGGTACATAAGCTCTCAAGCCGGTGTTCTGAGGAATGTAGAGCTGCTGTAGCTGAAATCCGATTACTATCAAAAAGGAGCACAGATAACAGGATACTATTTGCAGAAGCTGGAGCTATACCTGTTCTGGTCGACCTCCTAACAGTAGAAGACATTACCATTCAAGAACATGCAGTAACATCCATTCTTAACCTTTCTATATTTGAAAATAACAAGTCACTAATAATGCTTGCTGGAGCCATTCCTTCAATTATCCAAGTTCTCAGGGCTGGAAGCATGGAAGCAAGAGAGAATGCAGCAGCAACCCTTTTTAGCTTGTCACTTGCAGATGAGAACAAAATAATAATTGGTGCATCAGGTGCAATATCAGCTTTGGTAGATTTGCTGCAAAATGGGAGTCTTAGAGGAAAAAAGGACGCTGCCACAGCCCTATTTAATCTCTGCATTTATCATGGGAATAGGGGAAGGGCTGTGAGAGCTGGCATCATCAAAGCATTGCTGAGGATGCTAACAGATCCAAGGACTTGCATGGTTGATGAGGCTTTGATAATACTGTCAGTTCTTGCCAGCAACCTGGAAGCAAAGATTGCCATGGTAAAGGCCAGTACCATACCTGTTTTGATAGATCTTCTAAGAACAGGTTTGCCCCGCAACAAAGAGAATGCAACTGCCATTTTATTTTCTTTGTGTAAGAGAGATCCCGAGAATCTTGCCTGTATAAGTAGGCTTGGTGCTGCCATACCCTTGACGGAACTTGCTCAGAGTGGCACAGAGAGGGCAAAGCGTAAGGCCACTTCATTGTTGGAGCATCTTCACAAAGTAAACCAGCATTAACAGGTTTAGTTGTATTGAACTCTTGTATCTTTATTTATTTTTTTCCTTTTCTATATGGAATGTGAGGAGATGAGCATGAGATACAAAGCCATTCTCATTGCTCTTTGTATTTATTTCCTTTTTATTCTGAGCGTAAAAATATTCATTGGAATTTGTTTTTTTTTTTTTTTCAAATAAAGTTCATCGTTGAAGATTGCTCTTCCTTTTGTTTTTGATGTCCTGAAGAACCTTAGAGGCCTGAGATGTTTAATTCATGCAGAGAACATCAATATCCACTGCTCTGTCCAAATATCGCATTTGAGTGCGATATTATACTAACCAGATTAGCACATTCGGCTAAGTAATGTGATGATAATATCAATAATCAGCAAAATTGTTTGATTTTTGTTTGGCAAGCATCAGGGAAGTATTTTATTTATGTTGGTAAAAAGTATTTTCTGTCTGTTTGGTTACTTTGGTAACATGAATTTCATACAGTGTATTTGAATTTCAACCTTTGAAATTCAATATCAGTGTTTGTTTTTAACTAAATAGAATGTAATTAGATTTAAGGGAAATACATGTATTTTAACCAATGTATTTAAAAGACTTAAAAACCGTGTATTTCAAATTCATACCTAAACCCATGGATTTCAATTTCGAACCCTGCATTTTCTCCGCACTCCGACGGCGATGAAGCCCCCATTAGTCTGATTATCGAAGGGGACGAGGGAGGAACGGTCGACACAGAGTTCTAGAGGTGATGGAAAAGAGACCTAGGGGCTGAGTGGAGGGAGACTTGGATCTGGTTGTCGATGGAAGAGCTAGATCGGGAAAGAAGCAGGTGTTAGTGGAGGCGGACCAGTATGAGTGAGAGGAAGGAGTTCGAATGACATGGGCGATGGATGAAGGGCATTTGGGTCTTGACCTAGGAAGTAGATCTAGGGTTTCGGCCGATGCTGGAGCCTGGAGCTATTCCGGTGTTTCTGAGCAAGGATAGGAACGGGAGCTGTAACTTATGTTAGTTCCTTTGATTACTTTCTATTTTAACTTTTATTTTTTTTCTAAAGGCAGAGTCTCACAACCAGTTTTTAAACATAAAGGTATAGATAAATTATTTTTTTAAAATTATTAATTATAATAAATTATTTATTATTTAACAGATAATATTATCATGTTAAAAATTTATTTCTTATAGTGAAATTCTTTCGTAATAAATCTATCCTTATTGAAATTGAATATTATATGATAATAAAAAAAATAAACAAAAAATAGAGAACATGAAGAAAAATTGATTAGTGGAGGATATTATTCTTTTTTTATCCAATTTGTTAATCTTGATATAATTTAAATAATGTTTTGGAAGATTAAAATTGTTAATTTTGGTCTTATTAAATTTAAATAATAATTAGAAAAAGATTTAATTTAATAAAAAATTTTAATTTTAAATACATAAATTTTTAATATATCTAAATAATGTATTTAAAAATACATATATTTAAAATTTATTTTTCTTATTCAATCCAAACAATGCATTTTAAAATATATATATTTAAATTATATGTCTTTTAAATATATATATTTTAATTACGCCCATCAAATTTAAATTTAAGTTCTCAAACATAACTTTTATAAATTGTTACAAAATATATATGATACCAACTTCAGAGAAATAATCGAAGCAATTATTCAGCAAACAAACAGATTGGAACAAATGAAACATGAGATTGCAATCGACTGTATATTTTATAGCCATTGACAGAGGGAGATTATTTCAATATCAAAAATTTTTTTTATCAATGATTATAAGATGAAAAGAATGTACAAGTTAGATGGTACATTATTTTTCAATGAAATATTATGTTTGCTATATATTTGTATTAAAGAATTTCATTTTAAACGGAGCAACCATAATTCATCTTTCAATCTCGAGAAAATTTTAATGAATTAAAACATGCACTAAACAATGAGAGCTGACGCAAGAGCGTTGCACATAAAACGTACCAATTTCATTTCTTCAAAATTTTTAGCGGCCGAAGTCGCGACAACAAGCGGGCCATGTTACAATGATGCAACCCCGCGTTACCGGTCTGTTTTGATGGCGGGTTTTGCGCTCATTACATAAAATTTTTATTGATTGAAGAAAATAGAGCCACGCAACCGTCCTCCTTTTGGATTTGCCTGATCAACATTCTTATCCGTTATCGCCAGTCTTTTGGCTTTTAGTAGTAGTATGTAGTTCCAGAGAAAAATCAAAGAGAAAGACTATACATTAAGTAGGGTGTAAATCCACTAAGTATTAGTCCAATTAAAAGGAATTCAGATTTTTTAAAATAAAATTTTGAATTTAAATTTTATAGATAAAAAAATAAGTATTGAGAAAATTTTATTTTATAAAGTTTAAAGTGATTCAATTTTAAATTAATTAAGATTTATTATAAATTTAAAAATGTTTTCTTTTAAAGAAATAAATTTATTAGTTAAGTACAAAAAGTGTCCAAACTCATTTACAACAACCACAAATAAAGGCTTTAATAAAAATTACCTCTATTTCGTTAATTACTGCATACAAAAGTTCTGAGATTTAAAATCCGATTAGACATTGAAAATCTCCATTCCTTCTCTCTATTTCTTAGCCATTGATAAGTCTTTGTTTGAATGGAATAAAAAATTCTTCCAACTTTTGCTGATCTGTTCTTGAAAATTCTTTCATTTCTGGCATTTTAGATAGTCCATACTACTGCAAACCACACAGATTCCCATCCAGCCTTCATTTTTCCGTTAATCATCAACCCATCATGCTGTTCAAAAGCCTCCCACACATTAGTTGTTGTTACAGTTTTTACATTCCATCATTTATAACAACATGACCAGACTTATGAGGAAACTTTACAATGCAAAGACAAATGACTTTTGTCTTCAAAACATTCATCACACAAAGAGCAAATAGTTTCCTGGTATCTTTTAAAATCCCTCTTGAGTTTAAGGAGATTAGTAAAAAAAAAAAAATTTAAGTAGGGTGTAGTAATAAAATTGCCCTCTATGTTTGTGCTTCTCATTTGATTGGCGGACGATCAATTTGGACCCTTCTGTTATTCAAATTCAAATATTACTCAGAGACTGCGCTTTCTGATGAAAGCAGGGTTGGTGTCGAGTAAACTAGTAATTTTCTTCATCATCTCATTTCCCTCATGACAAAATTCATTCTAGTATATATAATCAGCAGCATCTTGCACCAAGTCAAATTTTTGCATGTGCATCACCATAACCTTAGAAAAAGTTTTGAATTTTTCTCCCCGTGATTACCGTAATCCCAAATTTTCCATCTCTAACCCCTATAGCACATGATAGTCTTCCTTTTCCACGCATCACGGAGTACGAATTTAGAATTTGTACTGGTCCCTATGTTGGATTCATAAATAATATTTGGTTGTTGAATTGGTTGATTCTAAAAGATTATAATATATTTAATGAAAATTGAGACCCTGTTTTAATTAGTTAGCTTTTTTTAGATTGAGAGTAACATGCTACGTACTTCTTGTCAAACTTCGGCTATTTTTCAACATATTTGCCTTCTTTGTTGACCAGCGACCCTTTAACATCAACTACCTTCATTTAAAAACAGGATCTATATATATATATATATGAACACCAAAAGCAGAGAGCAAACAAGAAAAACGTACTTCTGTAATTTACTTTTGTTGTTTTAGAAATCAAGAAAATTAGCATGGGTAATAGCTTGGGAAGGAAGACGACCAAGGTGATGAAGATAAACGGGGAAACGTTTAAGCTAAAAACGCCGGTGAGAGCGGAGGAGGTAGTGAAGGACTATCCAGCAGGGTATGTTCTGTTGGAGTCGGAGGCGGTTAAGCATTTCGGCATTCGAGCTAAGCCGTTGCAGCCACACCAGAAGTTGGAGCCGAAGAGGCTTTACTTCTTGGTGGAGTTACCGGAGGCTCCGAAGGAGATAGTTCCGAGGAGGGTTCGGTCGGGGATAAACATGAGCGCTAAAGACAGGTTGGAGAGTCTGATGTTGGCTAGGAGGTCGGTGTCGGATCTGTCAAATTTGAAGCCGGTGAGTGTAGCATCCGGGGAGATATCTGTGGAGGGGGCAATGAGGGTGAAGGTGAGGTTACCAAAGGCAGAGGTGGAGAGGCTGGTGAAAAAGAGCAGAAACGAGGCGGAGGCGGCGGAGAAAGTTGTGGATCTTTACATGGCAAACCACGGCAGTGGCGACGCACCCCATCAAGTTCCGCATTGGAATGGTGGTCATGGAAGAACTCGTGGAGGTCTAAAGGGCAGCACGGTATGTGTCATTCCGACAACTATCCAGCTTTCATGGCATGTGCAGTATGTTGAATATTGCTTTTTTTTTTTTTTGAGATTCTTATTTTAATGTAGTTGACTTTTTCTTTTCTTTTCTTTTTTTATTGAGATTTTTTTTTCTCATTCCAGATGTGAATGGTATAATTTGCTATTTTGACTTCTTCTTTTTTTCTCTTTGATTCAATTTTTTTTCTAGAGTATTTCTCTCTTCAAATGGTGGGAACATAGATTTTGAAGCAAAATATTGACCTTGACATGCTAACATTTACGGCTGCTAAAAAGATGACCTTTTTTCTGATTATATTTGCTTCAAAGATAATGAAACTTTTAGTCTTGGATCGTGAAAAAATTATTGGTGCGCTGATTTTTATAGGTTGAAAAGTGGATTAAGATTTAGTTAGTTACTGATTATGATTTGAGTTTTACATTAACTTATAAAATTATTTATATAGCTTTAACTTTTTATAATATCATTTTTCATCGGTAAAATTCTATTTACAAATCATTGCTCTTGGATCATTGTTATAGTGGTTTTTAAAAAAAAAAAAAAGAGGAAGTCAACAAGTATACAGTTACTGAAAACAAATTCAAGCAAAGTTTTCTATATTTCCTAAACCATGCATATATAAAAGGAAAAAGATAGGAACTTGGAAGTGAATGTTTTTGAAATGGTTGTAATTGCAGAAGCGAGTGAGTTTCCTGCCAGTCAGTGAAGGGGGGAGCCAAATAGCAGTTGCTTCTTAACTACCATATATAAATAAATCAGAGAAGATGAGCCATGATCAAGACGATTTTGCAGTTTTCTTTGTACTTCAGCCTGTATTGGTCCTGCATTTCATTCTTATTTCTGTGTACATAGATATAGAGGAAGAGCAACTTAAGCTTTGAAACATTGAGAATTATGAAAGAGCTGAGAGAGAGAGATAATGTAATCTTATCATGGTAACCTTCTGTAGAAATTTATATAGTTTCAGTAACATCGATGTGTAGGTAGTAGATATCATTTTCGAGCTACCAAGTAGAGTTCTTGTACAAGTGTTGAAAAAAAATTTATTTATCCAATTCATTTGTGCTTTGATCCAAGTGTTGCAAAACTACTTATCTTGCCTATATAAGACGGAATCCATTTACTTGTCTACATTTAGTATTTTTAACAAAGCGAGAGCTAACTCCTCCATTTTGCAGGAGTTAAAATCTTTGATTTTGATCTCAAACAAAAAATTGTTGAGTTTGGTAACAGAAACCAATTCAGCCAAGCTCTTAATGGTATCAGACCATTGATATTTACCATACATAATTATAAAACTTTCGGGGGGGAAAGGAAAAAGGAAAAATGAACATGAGAAATAGATTTTGCTTCATTGAAGAACCAAAGAATACATTGATACAATTCATGAAGTCATTGACCTGGTACAGTGAGAAAATAGGTGGTCATTGCCTTCCGGAACCGTGTCTTGTATTCTACTGGAGAAATAATTGTTGGAGAAGCATTCTTTGGCCCTCCAAGTATCCCAGATGCCTTAACCCATGTCTCCAAGTGCTTCTCCCATGTATATTGCCTCATGAAATCGATAATCCCTAAAACCAACTCCTTGTTTTCATCGTCCACCCCCACCAGCAATGAATAGTCTATAACGTGCACAGACTGTTAACCGCACCAAAGGTACGTTAATAATGTGCCATGCTTGTATACACCAGTAAGAAGTAAACCCAAAATTTAGAATGGGTTGGGCGAAGAAACTTACAGCCAAAAATGATGTATCATTCCATATAGCTCTCTCTAGGCTTCTCTTTGCTTTGCTTCCAAGAAAAATGGGTTCTGTAAGTAGTGTTTCTAACAGATTCGTATCTAACATTACTTTGTTTGTCCCTGTAGTATCTGGGTTGTAACGCGATCGTGCAGAGCCCTTGAGGTCGTAAATCTTTGATATTTTTCTTTTGAAAAAGAGGTTCTCCATTACGATCAAATCCATTTTGGTCACTTTGCCACTTTTCAGATGTTTAATGTAGACCTGCAAGAAAAAGCCAACGGCCAAAGAATCAGATTGAAACCTCAAAAACATTTGATCTTCGTGACAGACTCATGTACCCACGGGCATGGGTGCACACTAAGAGTGCTAAAAGCATGAGACCGAACCTGATAAAGACCAAGAACTTTAGCAAGGCAAGTTGGGCTTCCTGAGCTAAAAGAGCCTGTCAAATACTTGAAGTACTCAGGAGCAAATTCCACAAAGGATTCTAACTCTCTCTTTTTGACTTGTTTTATGATGAATCTTTCATCCAGTGATTTGGCAAAGTATACATTGCTCTTCCCCCCTTGCGCACTCCATTTCTGACAACGGCTCAAGGAGCGCAGAAAGTCCACTTCACTAGGGCAGCATTTCTTTCTAAGGGAATCAAACTGCTTAGCAAAATAACAAGTGACCGAAAACTCCACTTTGCCACCAGCAGAAACAGAATCATCCCCAAAAGAAATGGTTACATGTGGAGACCTTTTGGTATCTGAAAAGAGGGAACCAATTGATGATGAGACATCTTCCGATGAATAAACTCCATAGGTGATATGATCAAGGTCAACACTGCCAAATGACTCCAAGGGTAATAAGGCAGAAGCAGCAGAATCTTCACTCTCAATGATCTTATCAGCAACCCACTCCTTATACCCTTTCAAACTGAGGGCATAAGATATTACACTTGCAGGATCATTGTCATAAACAGCTATAACAATATCACTGCTAGTCCTCTGAGGAAGAAGCAGCCTAGCTCCTTCAGCCACATGGGAAGCAGAGGAGATGAAAGTGGGTGTGGAACTGAGTAACAAATTTAACTTCTGCGCCTTGAGTGGCAACATCTGGAAGTAAGTTCTCATTCCACTTGAAACAGGATCTCTAAGCATACTCCTATAATCTCCAGAAGCAGGGAAAGATCTAACTGCTGACAAATATGGTGCGGTGGCAGGAAATCCTTTCTGAATTCTTTCTTTGAATGTCAAAGCAGAGTCAAAAGAATGAAACCTCACTGGGGATGCTAGTCTTCTAAAAGAACGATTTTCAACTTTACTAGATGGCCTGAAAAAACCAGTTTGGAGGACATCTCCCCGAGATGCTAGCAAAGGTTGAACTTTCAATTGAACTAGATCTGTACCTGTCCATGCAGATTCTATTCTCTCAGACAAAGTTGACATGAGAGAAGGAATATTTTCAGAGAATGTACTGCTGACAGTAAATTCTCCATCAGAATGCGCATCCTCCTTTTTCTTTTGATAACATGAGCCTAAATTTGATTTTTCAGGAAAGACACATTCAATCTTTAGTAATCTAGGCTCCTCCTGCTCTAACTGTATTTCATTCCTAGGAGACTCCTGTAAGTCTGATGATCTGGAAACATTTTCTTCTTGACAATATTCAAGATTCTCATCCTTAGAATCGTCACTTCTTGTCTCTTTCAGTTGGGCATAAGATGAGTTTCCTTCTGAAACTTTGACAAAAGAACCCTTTTTAAGGAGGGAATCCAATGAACGAAACTGATTATCCCAAACATGAGCAACAATTAGGAGTTCACGCCTCAAACGATTCAGTTCTAGAATGTCCACAGCTGCTTCACCCATTTGAGAAGTCCCTGTGACAACTGACTGTAGAAGACCCTAATCACAAAAATACTATTTAGCGTTTACAAAATTCATCACATGAAGATTGACTGATATAACTTCCAATAACTCAAAATTAGCAGGGTGTAGGAACTTGTGATAATATGATCAAATGAATAATATAAAGAAACTTACATTGTAATCATTTCTCTCCTTTTTAAGCTGATCTTTCAGTTCCAAGACATGATTCAGTAACTCACTGGAATCTGAAGATTCAGATCCAATAAAATTACTTCTCTGTTCAATGCCGTCAAGTACATCAGATATCTCTGCATATAATGTTTCCATTTTGGCAATGAGCTGCAAGGGCAAACAAGATGGTCAGTAATTTTAAACTGTAAAAATTTCCATTAGTTGTAAGAAAGGAGGAGGGGCCCACCTCTGCTGCTTCTTTTCCTATCCACTCCTGTTGTAAAGGCCCAATAAATTCAAGCACTGAAGGTGGTAAATGGACAGAATGAATATCAATTGGAGAATAGCGGAAGAATGCAACCATGCTCCCAAACCTGTCAAATGATGTTAATCAATATATCAAAACTTCAAACTTAACTGTTTTTCACTGGACTTCATACATAACAGATAAAAATACTAAGGTTTCATTTGGAAATACCAATTTGTATTTGAGCTATGCACTCTTGAATCAAAGTATTTAACTCCATGCAAGTACGTTGTTCAAATGAAATACAAACACCATGAAATTAAATGAGATGCATTTTCAAGAGATAAAAGTGCAAATCAATCTTTTGAAACACATGGTTAATAAAATAAATAGGTATATGAAGTATTCAATTGAATGGATTTTGAGATCCATGAAATACTACATTAGAACAAATTTCAAGAGCACTTAATTTTTTTGACAAAACAACAGCTTATTTAGAGTTGAAGGTCCAAATTCAAAGATTTATCGACTTAGGTTGCATTTGGATATAGGAATTTTAGGAGGGATATCATAAGAGGAAAGAATTTCCAAATCCCTTTCTACATTTCTTTTATATATATATATATATACAGACACACACATATATGGGGAAAGTGTTATGCAAGTCGTCCTCCCAAATTTTTTTTGGACATGTCTAAAACTCATCTTTTGATTCATATTTTCGAAAACCAAAAGTTAGATTGAAAGTTTTATTCATATAGATCATGCACATAAATTTCCATGTTGATCTGGTAGGCCTAACCACTTCGTTAACTATAAAAAATTTAACATCATTAAACATATGTCAGTAAATAGAGTTGCTTTGATTAAAGGGTTATAAGTGTTAGATCAATATGAAAATTGAGACACAATCTACATGAATAAAACTTTCAATTTAACGGTTAGTTTTTGAGAAGAATAATTAGATGGTGGATTTTTAGATAAATCCTCCAAAAAATATTTTAGGAGGACAACTTGCCCTACACTATCCTCTCTCTCTATATATATATATATATTGGAAGAAGAGTGCTGTTTGGAAAATATCCAGTTTTTCTATTCAGGTCAAAACCTTGTTCACAAAAGAAGGTAATCTAGTAGGGGATTTTAAAATACTTTCCTCATGAGAAATCCCACCTAAAATCATTTCACACAAACAAAAGTACACAAGAAAAGGGTCAAAGTTTTTGTGTTCCTAAATGGACAAAAAGGCTTCCAAATTTCAAAGCATTTACCCATAGAAACGAAGACAGTCCCTCTGCAATGAATGACCACAGGTTGCAACACGGTTAGCAGTTGCATGATTTGAAAAGCTAAGTTCCAGAAACTTTCCAAAAGAAAGTCCCCATGCAGCATCAGACATGACAACTCTACGAGTTGCTGGAGGAACTCCATCTACATGAGCACACCTTAGGCATCGATGCCACATCCATATCTTACCATCCTGTTCACCAGGCAGCTCAATAGAGGGAAGTCGTCTAACATTGATTGTGAGATTCCCTTGCTGGTGGGTATAGCATATTACGTGAGCTTCAATGGGCTCTTGACACAATCGGCAGCAAGATACCTGGACATGACAATAGCTTTAACATTTAACATGTATAATTTGAAAATACAACTAACAATCAAATAAGATGTTATAAGCCTGACATCAATTACCTGATCAAACAGATCATCACGAAGATATCTCCCAAGTGGCTTATCAAAACAGCCATAAAACTTAATCCGCAATAGCCGAGAGCGTTCACACACAGTTTCTTTAACCACGCAATGGCTTGAATATGACACCAATATACTTTGGTGTGTGTCAGTGGCTGAGAAGTATTCACTGGAAATCTCATCTCCACAAATCATTTCAGATTTTGACAGTTCATGAATCTCCCCAACATGCCTCTCCTCTTCAGGAACAGTTTCTTCTAACTCTGGCTGCAATACACCCCTTAAATCATGAAGCAGCAAACTAGGCTCCTTCAGATCCTTACCCACTTCTAAGGAATACAACTCTGAACCTAAACTAGGTGCTAAGTTGTCAATGCATGCATCAGAAAGAACATTGTCAACTCTAGAATTCATAGGACCAGGGGTTGAAAATAAATTGTTCTGATCATGGTGCTCAGAGAACAGATCTGGTTCTCCATGATCTGGATTGAGACTCAGAGATACCTCATTACGAGCAGGCATGTCAGCTATTGTTTCAGAAACACCTGCAGAAATAGAACTAGGGAAATCTATAATGGCACTATCAGCAGTGATCCCCTCTTCTATTGAGTGTTTCAGTTTCATCTTAGGCAGAGTAGCACCTTCATCAGCAAGAAAGGAGGTCTCAAGGGATAAGTGATAGGCTGCAAATACAGCATATTGGACAACATGTTTAACCTTCTTTAGTTCTTTACGAGTTTTACCCCTCAATAGGACCTGTAAAGAGAAATTAAACACTCTGATTAGACAACCATGTTCTCTAAATTGAGAGAAAAGAAGTTCCAAAATTGCATTTTTCATTAAAACCTTGATCACTATAAAGCAGCAAAAATTTTCTCAAGAGTTCATAATATGGAACATTATGCCCATAATTTGGAAAAGGAAAACAAATAAAAACAAGTGCCTAAACCCCTTCAACTTCTAAGAGAGTGCAAATGCTGGATCATTCAAAGTTCTCACAGTCCAAATGATATGAGAAATTAAACTATTTCACCATAAACTAAAGAAAATATTACCGTGCAACCCAAACGCCTTGGACATCCTTCAAAGAACATCAGTGTTTTTGATAGCTTCTTGTTAAATTGATTGGCAGTCTCATGTTCCTCATATATTTTCTCTAGCCGGAACAATTCACAGTGCCCCAATCTGGAGGAAGATATACAATCAATTGATGGACTAATAAGAGCACCAGTGCACCTGGCTATGCGCTCCAATAATGGTCTTTTCACATTAAGCACTAGAGAAATTTCCTTTTCACGTAGATAGTCTTGGGCATATGAGGATGCACTCTTCTCTACCAGCAGAACATTTGGGCGAAGAGCCTCAATCTTTGAGGTGATCATCTTTAGATGATCATATTCCTGTCCAAATGTTTAAAGTTCATTTAGGAAATTTTTATTTACAAACATCAATGACTTCAGACAAAAAGTGTAGAACAAACCTGTTGCAATAGTGTATTAAAAGATGCCAACTGATTTTGAACTTTTCGAAATTCAAGGGCTCCACCTAAAAGAAGTAATCTGGGATTTTTGTATTGTGAGGTCATACGCTTGTGCTTTATATTTTTCGTGCAAACTACTCCCTTAATAAGAGTGCTGCAAGAATGAAAATATAACTACTTACATACAGATGGCAAAAACCTGGAAGGGGGCAAACTATGAAACTAAAATATTTCGCATCCATAGTTAGTCAAGCAGCCCATACCTTTCACTTGGAATACCTGATGCTACACACTTAACCTTCACATAATCACCAGGATCCATACTGCCTCCTCTGCTAGTATCAGGTTTCACAAAATTTGCTGCTTGCCATGCCAGTGATGTGACTATGTCAAGCCAGTCAGTTTTATCATCATCTTTTTCAATTTGAATGCCCTCCCCCTGTAACAGCTGTGATACAAGAGCCCTAAAATACCCCTGTATTACAGCTTTGAGAGGTTCCTTGCTGCCCTCAATTTGTTTCTCCTTTGATGGGAACAGACTTGAAAGGCTACCACTTGATGAGAAGATTGCACCAGAATCCCCAACATCATCATCTTCATCATCATATGAAAAGTGGTTACTCTCCATCTCATCATTTTCATACTCAGATGGCGGGGGATTCCAGATAAGATCATTGTTTTCAAAATCTAATGGTTTTTGTGAGTTCTCATATTGGTTTGGAAAAATTGACATGACATCAGTGTAACTATCAATATTTTCCTGCTCCTCACGCTGTATCTCTGGCCTTCTTAAAATAGCCATACTTTCTTGATCAAAGGAACCAACATTCTGAGCCATTGGGCTCCTTCGCCTCCGCTGTACATAGTGCCCAACTCTATGAGTAAAACTGTTCCTAGAGGGGCTGGGTGAAGGACTTGATCCCATTGTTTTAAAACTGTAAAATTCATGTCTAGCACTAATATTATGTGAATCTACATCTGAAACATCCTGACAAATATCAAATGAAGGGCCTGAAAACTGCTTCCCAGAATCCCCGGCATCTTCTTCATCGCTCCTACACGAGTAAATAGAAATAACCATACAGTCACTACCAAAAGAAAGAAAGAAAGAAGAAGGAAAAAAAGAAAAGTAAACAAGGAAAAACCAAAACCAAACTCTGCTAAGTTAATAAATTGTCCCTAACATACATTAAAAAAAAATCTACATCATAGAGCATTATAATATATTAGTTTGTCATTATCAGGTACAGGAATTGTAGAAAGCTTACTTACCTACTGGATGAAAGGGGAGTGGCTACCAGAGATGGGTGAGCACTAAAAGAAGTCATACTCATACTCATACTCCTGATAGCTGCTGCCTGGGGAGAATACCCACTATCACGAGCTTCAAGATATTGGGCAAGACGATCGCTCTGAACCGATTCACTATACGCAGCACAAGGGGATGGGGGCTCTGGGTTGTCTCGGGGAGACAGTGATGGATGTACTTTCTCACAATACTTCCTCCCACTTTCAAGTCTCATAGTAACCACAGCACAAAACTTACAAGATTTGAGACTCTCCCAAGAATTACCTCTGCCCTTCACATCATCTGGTACCACAACAGGAGATTCAAAACTTTGAATGCATTTTGAACATAACCAGCGACCGCAGTTTTGGCAATGAAATCCACGGGAGGACTCAGTGAACTTTGTATCACATTCACAACACATTTTGCAAACATTACCCGCCATCTCAAATTCTTCTGAGGAGAAACCAGACACAGAGAGATCACTTGCACCCCAAGGAATCCAAGACCTAACTTGCCTATTAGAACTAGGAGAGAACTGTCTGGTATTCCCATAAGAATGCAAATAACCCAGCAAAATCCTATCACCTCCTACTCCTCTTCTTCTTCAAATCAGTGTGTCACTTTCTTTCAAACCAAAATAAAAATAAAAAAACAAAAATTCAATAGGAGGATTTCCAAAGGTTGATAGAACCCACAATAAAAATGAAGGGTTGATTTGGCTAAGTGTTTTACTCGCTTACAATTGATTGATTTTGACTTCTTTTTATTTTCACAAATGGGTGTAATTTAAAAGGAAAAAGGAAAATCCTCCCGGAATTGCAAATATATTGAAGAAGGAATTGATATCAAATCGGCCACTGACCTCCTAGCAAAAAGGATTCCTAATTTACAAATCTCATCCTATTTACACCAAAATCACAAACTTTAATAGAGTCACAGATTTCTTAACTAACTAACTAACAACAACAACAACAAAACACAAAATTGCACCTACCCTACTCAAATCTATCAAACCCAGAAAAAAAATCCTAAATTTCAATGCTTAGCTGGTCCCAGATTCATCGATAATGCAACCAGAGATCGAATGTATCATCAGAAAAACTGTAACACATTTGGGGTATTCCTCTTTTTAACACACAAACCAAAGCAAGCAGAGAGAGTAGAACTGAAGAAGAAGACGAAGCAAGCAAAGTGGGGATAACTTGAAATGCTAAAAATAAATTAAATACTGGGCAAAATGAGGATCAATAGAAGGAAAAGGAGGAGTACGGAGAAGTTTCCCTTTCTTCTACCGGAATCGACACGCATCTCCATCAAAACAACACTAATTTCCTCACTCCTCTCTCTCGTTCGGCAACAACAATCGCTTCCTCTGTACTTCCCTTTCCCCCAAACAGTTGCTGCTTTATTCATTTGCTCTCCCCACTTCCCTTCCCTTCCCTTCCCTTCCCCAATAAAATAATGGGTTTGAATAAAGAAGCACACACCACCTTCTTCGCTTTTGCTTTTGCTTATTGCCGTTATTGGACGTTGGATTTGCTTAGGGTTTATCAGGATTTATTTTATAGGGGGGAAGATTTTCGTTGGATAAGTCAGCCTCATACTCAATTAGATTTTTCTAATCTTTTTGTTTAATTACATTATTTATTTTAATTTTAGCTTTAATTAATTACTCTATCTCAAAGTTTCCTTCTTTCATTGGTTAGAATCTTACAGAGCTTTTTAATTTTTTTTTTTTCCTTCTGTACGGCTGCATTTTCTTACCCGCACAAAATCCATTGCTTTCATCGGAGTACATTATAATTTGACAGTTGCCCCTAGCGAAGACTTTGAGAGCTTGGTTGATATTCGAGATCACATGTTCGAATGATGGAATGACAAGTTTGAAAAAAATGAAGGATTATTTTTATTGCATAATTTATTATTTAATGTATAAATATTTTAATTTTAATTTTAAATATTCGAGATCACATGTTCGAATGATGGAATGACAAGTTTGAAAAAAATGAAGGATTATTTTTATTGCATAATTTATTATTTAATGTATAAATATTTTAATTTTAATTATTTATTTTTAAATAAAAAACTTTCTTTATTTTTATTTTTAAGGGTAAAATAGATTTTTAAATTTTAAAAATAAAATAAGTAAAAATAAACTTTATTTTTAAATTAAAATATAATATAATATTTATTATTCTGAGATAAAATAAATAAATAACTTCGGAAATTATCGAAATGGTTTTAAGGTTAAATTTTTAATTTGATCTTTAAACTATTGTACAAACTTTGGATTTGATCCCTAAATTAAAAAAAATCACTGATTTGATCCTTAAACTATTGTACAAACTCCAATTTGATCTCTATTGTTTACCCATTTACCCTAAGTTAATCATTCCGTACAAAAACCAATTAACATGTTTTGCTATTAACGTAACATGTGATCGTTAAGTTACTGTTTTTTTGTTATTAAGTCATTATTTTTTGTCGTTAAATAACAGACAGGTAAGTTTTTTTTGTATGAAATGATCAATTAAAGGCAAATTAGTAAATAATATTGATCAAATTGAGGGTCTGTATAATAGTTTAAGGATCAAATTAAGAATTTTTTTAATTTAGAGATCAAATCAAGATCCGTATAATAGTTCAGAAACTAAATTAAAGATTTAACCTAGTTTTAATGAATATTTCTTTGACACACTAAGGAGCTATTTGTTTGGAGAAACTTTTCTTTAAATTTCTTTTAAATTTTTTATTTTATTCAATTATTTATGTATTTTTACATATTAATATAATAATAAAAACTAAAAAT